GTGATTATACTATTTGTTGTGGGGGTGGAGATCAGAGGACAAATTGTGGGAGCCAGTTCTCTCCTTCTACCGTGTGCATCCAAGAGTTTGAACTCAGGTCTACATGCTTGGCTGCAGATACCTTTGCCAACTGAGCCATCCCATGGGCCACATAATGATACTTTCTTATTATTTCTTTTAGTTTTGAGATTATAATATAAATAATTTCCTTCTTCTCCTCCTCCTTCTTTCTAAACCCTCTTGTACAGCCTCCTTTGCTCTCTTTCAAATTCATGGCCTCTATTTTCATTAATGGTTGAGAATATATATTAATTACAGAAGTGCAGCTTGCTCAGTCTGTATAATGTTACTTGAATGTAGGTTTTCAGAGCTGATCATTTGGTGTTGGATGACCAGTTGACATGCTCTTCCTTGGAGAAGACTATTTCAACTCTCAGTACTCATTAGTTGACTGTGGTTCTTGCGGAGGGTTGAGGTCTTGTGTGCTTTCTCTCATCCACTTTGGCATGTCTGTTTTTGTTTTTGTTCAGCTCATGTGTATGCAGCCATGTAGGTGAGACTTTAAATAGCAAGAAAAATAACCTGTGATAAGAATATTTTAAGGATGCACATTTTGGAACAATAATTACCACTGGTTAAGGACCTCCAATGTGCCTGACAATGGCTTCCAGAGCTTTATGCTGTAAACTATTAGATGAGATGGAATCTTTGTAACAACTCTGCCACTGAAACCATTATTCCCACACTCACCGGTAAACAAATCGAGGACCAACAGGTTAAGCTATTTGCCAAGGGCCCCACAATGAGCAATTTGTAGATCTAAAATGTAAGCCTGGTTTTATCAAGTTTGGGTTGCCATTTTACTCTTATCTATATCTATGTTCATTAAAATATGTCCTATTTAAAGATGTTTAAATAGAATTAAACAGTGCAATAATAAAAGGTACTAGTGAATATCCTCCTACTTGCTCTCCCCATTTATTCCCTCTTTTTTTTCCTTTCCCAAAATGAGCCAGAAACATTAGCCTACATTTAGTGCTCAATAAATTGCTGTGGGATTTTACCTGGGGAGCTCTGAAAACCCTGCAGGCAGATATCATCGATTCAACTATAGTGTCATTATGTGCCTGTCCATATGCATGACGTGGACTGGGGGAGGCTTTGTTCACAGGAATCACAAAACCATCATCCATCTGACACCCTGGGTTGTTGGTGGGCCCTTACCTGCAGGGCTTCCCACAAATGTCTTCCTTGAACTGTTATTATTTTTAATTGCTCACAGGATGCTTCTTACTAGGGAAGTTCTTGCCAGCTAAGATTATCAGCTCTGCCTCCAAGGTGTCTCAGAAAAATCCATGCGTGGCTCCAGCTGGTGAGAAGCCAGGTACATGGGCCTAAGATTTCCCCAATATCACAGAACCAGCTGACCCTTTCAGAGACATGAAGAACCACGGCAAATGACCTAGGTAAAGTATGAAGAGCAAGCTTAAGGAAAAGGCCTTGTGTGAGAGGACAAAAATTACTGTTTCGGAAAATCCTCAACTCACAGATCATAGATAATACAAAAATAATCAATAATGATATTAATAACACATTCTTCCCTGTCACAGGAAAAGTTGTTTAGTAGCTTTTTGATATGGGAAAGTGCCTTGGATTCTCTGCAAATCAGTTTCCTCATCTGTAAGAAAGGAATAATTACCCAAATCACTGTTTGAGATTGAAGTGAGACAATGGCGTCAATAAAACTCTTTTTGTTCTCATCAGAATGGAGTTATGAAGAAGGCGCTTAGTAATAACTTTTATGGAGGTGAAAATAAAGTCTCTCAAGGAAATGAATAAAACAAGATTTCATGGAAAAACTAGAAGAAAAGACTTAAACACCATGAAAGAGCTCCTTCTGCTTCCTGGCTCCTTCCCTTTCCATGCACTAGCTCCCTCCATACTGTTTCTAAGCTCATAAGGCAGAATGCAGCCATCAGTGGCCCGGTATCTTGCTTTCCCACCCTCTTCAACCTAAGAAACAAGCTGATCCATTCAAGTTGAATGGATCCAGTGAGAAGCTGGGATTGGCTCCGTTCACATCATGCGATTCCATCTAAACCAACCAATTGTTTATTGACGAGGGCCGTACTCTCTCCCATTTTCCAAGCTGAACTTGTGCTAAGCATACAAATCAGGACCATGACCATCTCACAGAAGAAAGGAGACTTGCTACTGGAAAAATGATCCCACACAAAACAAATTACTAACATCTAGTGTAGAAACATATTAAAAATATTTCAGCAATACCCATCCCAAAGTAAACACACTCATGTTTGGATATTTGTCCAGAACAAATACATATTAATATATGTATTTGCCAATATATAAATGTCCAAACATTTTAAAGGTTCATATCTTTTTTAAGCCCAAACAAAGATGGTATTGTATACCTGGCATGGTGGTACATAACTATGGAGGGAAAGGTATTAGGAGTTCAAGACCAGCTTTGACCAGCAGTGAGGTTAAAGCTAGCCTGGGATACATGAGAACTTGTCTCAAAAAGACAACAAATCAGTCAATAAAAGCAACATTGCGTATTAGTTATAATGAAAATACAGAGTATGTTGTAGGATGAGGAAGATAACACATGCTAAAAATAAATGATATTTTAAATATATAATATAATCACTAGTCAACATAACATGGGGTTATGTCTCAATAAACCCACGGTTAAGATTAAAATGTTTGTACCAGTCCTAACTAAATTGTCACCAGCTAAGCAACATGAATGCCAAGGTCTTGAGTGTTCTGCCTTGTGACAGAGACTCATTGAGAGACGTGGTTCTCAGTTCCTACCTGGTGTCACAGAACATAGTACCATGGAGCATCTTCACAGGAAAACATCAAACTTCAACATTTCAGGTTCCCTTTCTACTGAGGGAATATCATTCTCTCCATTCTAAAGTATAAATATCTTAAGTTGAGGTAGTATCATCTGTGTACATCCTGTTCACTTTCCAGCCAATAATCTAAAGACTCAATAGAAAGTTCAACATGCTGAAGAATAGTAGTTTTGCTTGTCAGTCCTGTTTCTTTTTCCTGTCCTTTAGAAACCCAAATTTAATCACAATTTCTGTTCTCACATTCTGTTACAACCCACATCTCTAAATGACTACATTTATAGGCCTACCACTGAGTGTTTAGCATGAGAAATCTCAGGGATTGTATCAAGCACTTAAAATCATTTCAAAAGCCAACAAAGACGCCTTTCTATAATTAGCAATAAACAGTACCAAATTGAAAATGAAAAAGGTTAGTTCCTATTTTTGTCTCTTTTCCCAAACATGTACATACTAATTTTAAACAAGTCATTCTGGTTTCTTGTATCTATCTTCTGTGATGTAAAATCTTCATTGTTAACTTGACTTCTTTAGATTTAATGAGACAGTTGAGGCACATCTCTGGGTGTGCCTGTCAGTAGATTATCCTAGGGTTCATTTCAGGGAGAAGAACATACACCCTAAATGGGGGGGGGGAGCATCCCATAGCCCAGGGGCTGTGTGGAATAACAATTGGGAAAAAAGTAGAAAGTCATAGTGCACCTTCATCCCCTTTCACTGTTTTCTGGCTGGCCATGGAGTAAACAACACTCCTCACCCACATCACCCATTGACAAGATGTCTGGCTCATGTTCATGAGAGCAAATCAACATGGACTGAAGCCCCTGAAACCATAAGCTATAACTAACTCTCCCTTTTCAAAGTTCTTCTTTCTGATATTTGGTTACAGCAACATGACAATAACTAATAAACCACCCACAAATCTACATGGCAGCCTACCGCCCCTTCAGGATGAAACCTTGAAACACCAGCAGGCCAACAATATACCAGACTCATTCACAGAGATTATTAGAAAAGAATCTCAGAGAAGCAGAGATTGCCCTTTATTTTCAGAAGTGAATTCTCACTCAAAAAAAAAAAAAAAAGAACAAAGAAAGACACATTGTGAATGTCATTTTTGAAAATATCTTTAGTTTTGGTTAGATTATAGGAATCTGATCACTGTCTTTCAATAAGCTCCAAAACTCAGTGAATAATCAATCCACAAATGTCAGACTTTAGAAATATACCCCTTTGCATCACATTCTAGGATTCCTTTGGGTGCTTCCTGAGCAATTTTGTAGAGACTAATTCCTAGACTTTTCAATAGAATCATAATAAATAAATATGGCTGTTATGATTGAAAAAAAGGAAATTGCAGTCTCATTTTGTGTTACTTCCAGCTGTGTTAGGAGCAAGAAATAAAACTGAGGCAGTGGCAATGTTCTAAACAACAATATTGCAAGAAAAGCTGCAGGAGGGCAGACAAGGTGGCAGACTAATTAGTAATGCTTGTTATCAATGAATAATTATGACTCATCATTTGTTATCAAATATTAAAAGAACTGTCTTAGAAGAGCTGTCAGCATCATCATCATCGTCATCCTAGTCATCATTGTCGTCATCATCGCCATCACCATCATCACCATCATCGCCATCATCATCGTCATCATCATGATCATCTTGTCTGGAAAGTTGTTCACATATCTCTGTTTCTAACCTGGCCACTTAGCTGTAGCTCAAATGCTAGACTGAAATCCTTGTAAATCCTGTCAACTCATTTTTGACAGTTAAGATATCAAAATATGCAAATGAGTATGTAATAGCGGAGCAGTGTTGATGTTTTACGATATCTAATGGTTTCCCTGCCATCCTATTCTTGTTACCTTCACCTACAATTCAGGAAACGCCGAAGACAGTCACTTTTTTCTTGATTCAATTTCAGCAGAGTAGAAACTAGGCCTAATCCTCACTTTCCTCTTCTAAATACCTGCTCTCCCCTCTCCTAATTACATGGCTTTACACTAATTTACATGAATTTCAGCTTTCAAAATCAATGGTCTTTGCTGAATGCAAATAAGCACATGGGAAAATTATATTAAGTTTGCACAATTGATCTTTCATCATTTCAAATGGTACCTTTGAATAGTTCCTGAAATGTCTGTCTGAAATACTCCCAACGCTGAGTGTCATCAAGAGATGGGGGGTCACACTGGGGAAACCCATTCTCGGTGATGTAAATTACAGGGTTATTATATGTATCCTAGAACAAGAGAGCAGAAGTTTCATTTCAAACAGATGTTAAAAAAAAAAGAAAAGAAAAGAAAGCTCATAAAATCAGGTGCATTACCCTCTATCTCCTGGAAGCTACAACCCCAAAACTAGTTTTCATCAAATTGCACTGACCCTATTAACTTAATTTTCCACACACTGACCTTTTATGACTAACAATGGAAAAGCAAAACTGTGCAAATGTCCATGAAGACAGTCAAATGACTCTTAACATAATGAGAAGACAGAAATATCCTTCTTCCCATCAGCATCTGCTGATTGTCACTGCTCCTTAACCCCTTGGTCCCGCCGGCAGGTACATTTTCTATCACCCACAGGAGGGGTCCAGAAAACTGGTACCTTGAAATTGTAATTTCAGCTACCAGCATAGGGGAGATTCAGAAAACATTCACTTCTCTTTCCTTAAAATGTCTTTTCTAGCCAAAGCAGTGACACTGGCTTGAAAAATATGTCCAAGCTACTCATATAGACACAACAGAATTTAACCACACATTTTAGTGTTAAAGCCAGCTAGTTCATCCTAATGAACTCAAATCTTACTCTTCTCTTCCCAGCCAACAAATGGATATACTAACACCTAAAATCAACCCTTTTGGTGTTCATACACATGGATACATATGACTTCCCAGAGTGTAACTTAGGTACACATAGACACAAATACATCATTCATTTACCTTAATGTATTTCAGTAGCTTACGTATTCCCCATGGCACCACGTAGATCCAACCCACATTTTCCCAAGATGGATTGGGAAAGAATTCAATCTCCACATCCTGAAGGAAGCTGAGTTCTCCTTTCTTATTCTCCTGGTGCCTGACTAAGCGAGTTGTATAATATTGAACAGCAAAGAAATCAGCAGTGCCTTTGATCATTTTCTTCTCTTCTTCTGTGAATTCTGGAAGCCTTGATGATGGATAGCCTTGCTTTTCACTCATGGAGGCAATCTGGGACTTGACAAGTTCAGGATAATCACCATCAATAAATATGGGTTTTGCAAAGAGATCCAACTGGAAATTGATGGCTCTCTTAGTAGCTTCCTGGTCAAGCACTGAGTTGGGTTCTGCTGGTTCTAACCAGCAAAAAAATAATGATAGGGACACAAAACCCTTCTGTTCTTTCCGGAATAAAGAATCATAGCTATGCCAGGATCTGGCATGAGCCTTAATCAAATTATGAGCCGCTTGATAACCCCCAGTCCCAAAGTGAGGCACACCAGGAGCAAAGATACCCATGTCATAGGCCAAAAGAGCAAGAATATTAGGCTCATTTATGGTGAGCCACTGCTTCACTCTGTCTCCAAACGTCCTGAAGCAAAACTGAGCATATTTGTCAAAGGCCTCAACAATTCCTTCTGACAACCAACCTCCTTGGTCTTCTAAAGCCTGAGGCAAATCAAAGTGATAGATGGCCACTATGGGCGTCACCCCATTCCTTAACAAATCATCTATGATCTTGTTGTAATAGTCGATTCCTGGGAAGAGAAAATATAAGAAGCAAAAAGTTACTTTTAGTAGGATGCCAACATGTTTTATGAGACAGGTATCAGGATGAGTTTTATTCAAAACAAGACATATATTGTATTTAAGTTGATCAATGAAAGGTAAGGAAGAAGCATGGAGAATATCAGAGAAGACAAGATAATTAGGAAGTGATGGTGAGATGGGGAGGCAGGGATAGGAAGATAATTGCTCCAAAACAGACACATCTGAGGAAGTTGTTCTCACCTAACATTATGTTTTTTTGTGTATTTATTGAAATCAATTCCATAAGAACACAAGCTCTATATGAGGTTTGGATGTGCAATTCATCTCTAAATTTTCAAATCGTGGAATCATATCAAATGTTCAGTGAATAATAAAGATCTGTTCAATTAATAGATCTCAAAAAAAATGAATCAATTAATAGATCTCAATAGTATTAAAAAGTAAACAAAGAAAGCAAATCAAATGATTGCCTCAGTTCTTTGCCAGGCCGATTTGCCTTACAAGTCTGGGAAAACAGTTCCACTGAGTACACACAAAGGTTTAGCATCTAAGACAGGTACAGGAGGACATGCCTGTGGTCCAAAATACTTGGAAAATTTTGAGTCAAGTACATTGAGGTCAGTCTCAGCAATATGATGATAACATTTTTTAGGAAACTAAAGAGTTAAACATGTAGCCCAGAATGTGGATAAAAAATACCAAGAGTCCTCACATAGTGTGCCTCCCTAATAGAGTTCAGTCTACAATTCTGACAATCTACAAAAATACCAAGTAAGCCCTCCCTCTCAGCTGATTCTTCCTTGATGGCATGAACCATCGAGTACTGGCCAAATTGTTGTAGAGTTCAGAAGAATGCTATTAAGTTGAAGAGGCTCTGCCTCGGAAACCAAGGCCAAAAAGATATTGGCACTAGCCTCATACAATGACTCTTACCTTGAAAGTGACTCTCTAAGGAGAGGGTATGGTAGTACTGTACCTGGCTTCATGTTTAAAAGAATAAAAGGAACAAGCACTTAGAGGAGAAAAGCTGTCCTGAGTTAAGAGGTTTCAAGAGAAATGGTGTAAAATCATATGTAGTATTGCATTGGAGGCTTACTGAAAAGGAAGACCTCTTTCTTTTCTAACTTAGTGAATATAGATACAGACTTCTGCACTGTTTCACCCATTCAGTTATCCCTCTTGTTCACTGCTTAAATACATATTGATAGAAGAACAATTATATGCTGGGCATAAAAGCAGGACCCTCTTCCTCGTCAGAATTCTACAAATTATACAGATATGCTTATAAATAGGTAAACTATAGTAAGACTACATAGTGCAGATAATGTTTAGCATATTATTTTAAAATGAGATAAGTCATCCTCATCCTAAACTTGGGGCATCTGCAAGCACACTCTGAAAACAATATGCCATAATGGATTCAAGACTGAACTATGGATGCCAGCCTATTTAAAGTCCACTGACACTCTGTCACCTACTAGCCCCATGATCTTGGGCTACTAGATCTCCCTGAATTATCTGTACTCATCTATAAAATGTAGATAATACTAGTTACCTACTTCAGTAAATTATTGTGTGAGAGTTTAATCAGTTGATAGACTGAATATAATAAGAACATTCCTTAACACATCATAAGGGCTCAGCATAGGTTATCTGTCATTCTACTAATTAATATTGTTGTTATTATTAGACGAATATAAATGATCATCATAAGGCAATAGGAACAAAATGTTCCTTAAAGAGAACAGGGAGAACCAAATGTCCAAAACACCCACGGAGATACAGCCATGAAGACCATGGAAAGAAGAAAACAGGCAATGTACTCGGTTTTCTATAGAAAAGGAAGTCAACTGTCATGACTCAAATTTGGCAAGTACTCAACAACAGTTGGGAGAAAAAAGAAAAAGAAAAAGTAGAAGGCTTCAGGTGTGCTCTAACTGGAGTTGTGGCACAGGTAGCTGGGAAAAGGCTGGATAGAAGTGAGTGTCTTCTGTGATTGGTTTGGGGAGCATATTTAGCTATCTCTGGTTGGCCTTAGTTGGATGCAGACCTATGATGGAAACAAAAACTATAGAAAGTGGAAGTTGTTAGCTAACCCTAACTATTCTGGGCAGACAGCTACAGAGGTTGTGGTTTAGCTGTCTGGGCTTCTTATGTGGGTCAGAGTTTTATTTTCATATGCTGTCTGGCCAGTGTTTATATAGTCACTCTCTTAAAAAAGTCATTCCTGGGGAATGAAAGTTCAGATACTTCATCAGAAGAGGAAAGAGGATGGAGAGAAGAAAGTAGAAACCTTGTTATGCACTGGGGTATTGTTGACCTGAGTATTTTTAATCATGGCTCATTCCTGTGGGAAAGATGAAAATAACATGAGTCATGCATAAAAACTCCATGTTTTATGAACATATTCATTTGTAACTGTAGCAGAATAACTCCTTTTTTTCGAAGATGCCCATAAAATAAATGAGTGTGTTACCTTATACCTTATAGGAGACTACTATGCAAATGCAATTGAAGTAAAAACCTTGACATGAGGTTTCTCAAATGGACTCAATATAACACACAAGTCCTTAGAAGTATAAGAGTATGGCATGGGAAAAATGATCAGAAAATGTAACAATAAACAAGAAGTAGAGACTGTGCTATATGGAGAGAGACTGATTTGCCACTACTGGTTTTGAAGATGAATAAAGACACCCCTAAGACAATAAAATCAAGTAAAAGTGACCTTTAAAATATAGCCAGCAAGAACATAAGGACCTCAGTGCCAATTGTCAACAGTATCATGAACCAAGACAGAGACTGCCTCATATACTTTGAAAAGAAACACAGCACTACAGATATCTTGATTCCAGCTAACAGAGCTCTGATGTCACAGATTGTGTTGGTTTAAGTAGTTGAGTCAGTGATGGTTGATTTTTGGTATCAATGGAAAAGCAATATGCATATATATATATATATATATATATATATATATATATATGAAGCTTTCCTTTTCTCTCTCAATAAAAAAGTGTTCCAAACTCATCTCTTGACCAATATAAATCCATATTTCCCACTTTGTAACTGTAGTGTCTAAGTTGATGTAGTACATTAACTAACCTTGGTATTGGTAAGCTTTAAGCCCCTCCTAATGAACTCTTTTCATTGCCTTGTCTTGCAGATAAGTTTATTTTATTGAGTCCATACTATATATACACTAGATAGCATGTGCTTTTACTTAATTCTAGCACTAAGTCTTATTCCTATTAAACACATGAAAACTGATATCCAGAAAGCCTGAGTGTTCTCAAATGGAATAGACAATATTTAGTCCCATACTGAGTCTGAGGTTTCCCCCACAACAACATATCATCTTTCCTGTTTACAAATGTTCCTAAACCAAAGGAAATGTGACTTCTCATTAGCCTCAGCTTCTACCTACTCAGACCTGGTCATAATATCAGATCTTTTTTATTATCCTTTTATGAGAACTCTTTAATGGTAACCAATCAATTTTAATTCAGGCAACATGATAATCATGAGTTGGCATTAAATACATTTTATGTGTTTAGGTATTCATGCTCTGTTGCATAATTTATATGTAATATCCTAGAATGGAACATCTTTTTTGCTTCAGCTTTATACAGTTTACTTGATGATATAATACAACTTTTACAACTTTTCTGTGAGGTGGTAGAGTGGTGAGTGTGTGTGTGTGTGTGTGTGTGTGTGTGTGTGTGTGTGTGTGTGTGTTAATAGGGAGGGATTGAACCTAAGGTTTTTGTGAACACTAGGCAAGCAGTCTGCCATTGAGCTGTATGTCCAGCTACAGTGAGATTCTAAAAGCAGGGTACCATATTCACACAACTTAGTCATAGGAACTTAGACAAACCACTTGACCGCTGCATGCCTACAGTCCTCATTTTTGGAAAAGAGATGCTAACAGTGCCACCTTGCAGTGACTATAAGAATTGGATAAGATCATGGTTTTGAAGGTACTGAGTTTCACTTATCAATAAGACTGCTAAGTAAGATTCAGTAGCAACTAATCTTCCATGTTCTCAAGTGACCAGCTGTGACCAATCTGAAGGTCTTGACATTGAATGGTCATTTGGACTCTGTTCTGTTCCAGATAGTTAGGACAAGATTGACTATTTGAAGAAGTAAAATGTCTACAAGTTTCTCTCATAGTTAATGCCACACTTTTGCTTTAAATAAGCCCATTTCTGTTTATTTGATCTTTGAAAAGTTGGAGTAGATGTATGAAAAAATAAGCCATCTCGGACTAACTGGCATACAAAGGTAGCATGGAGCAGTTGGGTGGTGGGGCTGGCATGGCAAAGTGAGCATTGTTTGAAATAATATGACAACATCAAACACCCAGTGACAAAAATTAACTGCAAGTAGATCCCAAGGAACTTGAATTCTGAGGTGATTTGTCTCACAGAGGCCTCTCACATGCTGACTTATCTCTTCTTAATATAGCTCTTCTTTGCCTCCATCTCAGAATGAGTTGCCTCAATGTGACCCATTTAATGTGGTCTCCCAAATGCTGTTGCACCTGCCAACACAACCTCAGATCCTTGCACAACCTACCAGCCAACTCAGTCCTCTCATTTGATCAAATCCAGACTTCCCTGAGAAAGAAAAACAACTGGGCAAGGCCTTCTTTTTTTTTTCCTCAATGCCACAGAAGTCAGACACCACAGGGAATGGGCTTTTTTCCTTTGTCTCATCAGCAGTGAACAGGATTATATAGAACAGAGAAATAGGGAAACTATGTTATAAGAGAAGATAGCTACAAGTTTCAGCAAGCATGCTTCCAGTAAGACAGAGATGGGGAAGGAAGAGAGAAAGAGGAGAAGGAAGGGGGAAGAAAGGGAAGGAGGAATGAAAAGGGAAAGGGGAAAGGAAGGGAGGGATGGGAGGAGGGAAAAATGAAGGGATGGAGAGAAGGGAAGTCAGGCAGGCCAAATTATCCAACCATGAAATTATAATAGAATTT